AAACGTCTGCTGATTTGATGAAGTTAATTTATGATAAGAGATCTACTGAAGTCAGCTTTGTACCAGGAGACAAGGTGTGGTTGTATAATCCCAGGAAGACTAAAGGGAAGTCTCCTAAGTTGTCTTCTCCATGGGAAGGCCCATACGACATAGTGGATCGTCTCTCAGACGTGACTTTCCGAGTAAAATGTGGTCGGCGAGGTAAACCAAAAGTGGTGCATGCCAACAGGCTTTGGCATTATCACGGTCCAGGACATTTCAGTTGGGACGAAGTGGACCACAGAACAAACGACGCTGCTGAAGACGTTACACCTGAGGAAGCCACCGTCGAAGAAGAAACTCTACTCAGTTTTGAGAAGGGAAACGATGTAGCTCTTGATGAAGTTACTACCACTGATGTGACTGTTACCGATGATAGGACATTTCCTGATGAAGTAGATGAACCCCACGTGAAGCAGAAGGCAACGAGACGGAGACCAGTACGGACCGTAAAATTAAGAGACTTTGTTGAATTGTAATTTTGTGTTTGTAATTCTGTATCGTTAATTAAGTTATTGTTAATTGTTATTGGTTTATTGTATGTGGTTATTGTTCGGGACGAACAATATTAAGGAGGGGCAGTGTTGCGTCATCGAGATCACGTGACTATTCTCACGTCCTCTACTTTCTAGAACTATCCTGTACTTTGGCGAATGCTCAAGCAATTACTAGATATAGGGTAGTCTGGTATATAAAAGAGGGTGACAACGTGACGGGAAGGTAATGTGTGTGTAGATAGTGAGTAATTGAACTGCAGTCAGAAGTATTGTTGACGTTCGTTGATATAGAGTTTGTTTTAGCGCGATTGTTGAAAATAAGTGTATCGTAAAGTTATATTCAGAAAGAATAAACCAGTTTTATTAAGTAAGAACTTGTGTCGCTAAGGTTTCGTCGGAACGAAGTTACAGAAAGTTAATTAACAAACGGAGACATAACAATATTTTAAAAGCCGCAATTTGTTGGACTTTTTGAGAGGAATATCTCATAACTTACAGTTCTAGTGTACTTACGTTATATAACTTTGCATAGTTCAATATTTTTATTTTATTAAAGTAAACAAAATTTAACATGAAACCTGTGTTATTTTCTCATACTTAAACAGTTTTAGATAATTCATTCTTCTATGAAATACAAGAAATATGTGTTTCTCTTCCTATTTTAGTCAGTTATATCAATATAATAAGATAAATTTCCCTACGGGGCAGTTGTCAGGTAACCATAAATATAATAGTACTGTCTGTTGTATGCCCATGTTACTACTTCGCAGGGTGTGGATGGATCTTCACCAAATTTGGGATGGAGGTTCTTTGGTTCCATGGGGAGATACATCAAATTTGAGGTTTCACATTTTGTGTTTTGCAGTTTTTAACAATTACATATAAGGGAAGCAACTTTTCATGTCCTAAGATAACCTTTCATTAATCATGAACGTACATAACTTCCGTTCAGGGGAGGGGTACTCCAGCTAGTCAGCAAATATTTTTACAGATTTGCTGTCTAGACATTTCATTTTACACTATCAGCACATAGTCTAACAACGATATCAGGTTATACTTTTGTTGCTAAATGACAAAACATAAAAGCCATTATTGAAAACGCATATCAGAAAGAGTTTGATTTTATAAGAGTAGGTAATCTATATAAATATCATAGTACTTTCTGTTGCATGTCCTTGTAACTACTTCGCACTGTGTGGATGGCTCTTCACCAAAATTAGTATGGCGGTTCAATAGGGTCATGTGGGGGTGCATAAACATTTTCAATTTTGCGGTTTTTATGCGAATTTTTTACCAGTACTTTAGCCCCTGTTAATGGATCTCCACCAAATTTCGCGGTTTCACATTTTGTGATTTGCAGTTTTTATGGGCGTTTTTTACAATTACACTTTTTGTGTCCTAAGATAACCTTTCATTAATCATGAATTTTTCTAATTACAAAGGTCCAGGAAGGTATAGTTTATCAATCATCTGTATTATTTCATATTTTAAAAGGGTTAAGGAGAATTTACTCAATCAATGTGGCGCATTAGTTATATAGGAATGATTAATAAAACATCTCCTCCCTAATGACAAAGGATTAGGGAGGAGATATTCCACAAATTTGAAAAAGTGGAAATACTAAAAAAGTTAATTCAAAAAACAATGTGCAATAAAGTATAGTTTCTGTGTGATTTTAACTTTTGTAATTTATCTAAATAAGTAGTTAGGGTGCCGCAAAAGGGTGCCACATGTGTATCGAGGGAGGGAAGGGATGACGTGATGCCTTCAAAGATGATGAGGTCGTGACAGGCGGGCATGTTGTCATAGTGTTGAAATTTTAGTTTGTTACCAGACAGACGGTTATGATGCCATAGTGTTGAATTTATAGTTCAATACCAGACAGGCGACCATAATTGATGATTATGTAATAGTACCACAAAGTAGAGAACGTGTTTCTAGGCGGCCATGATTCATACAATACATGTTTCATCATGTCGATAATTAATCATTAATTAATAAAATTGTTCCTAAAAAGGACGCTTAACTCTAATTCATTAAATCATATATAATTAATTCAATAAATCATTTATAATTAATTCGCCCTTAAGAGAACACTTAATACAAAATAATTAGTTAATTTTAAAAAGGACAATGAATGCTAATTAATTAATAATTAAATCATCCTACCACAAAGTAGAAAACGTGTTTCTAGGCCGTCATGACTCATACAATACATGTCTCAACAAAAATATAATTAATCACTAATTCGATAGTTAATTAATTAATTTGCCCCTAAAAAGGATGTTTAACACTAATTAATTAAAACATTTATAATTAATCCATTAATAAATAAATCGTCATAAAAAAGGACGCTTAACACTAATTCAATAATCAATTAAATCATTCATCGTAAAAAAAAACGCTTAACGCTAATTCATCAGTTAATTACATTTTCTTACCATTTATAGGTCCGAAAAGGACGATATCTTAATTATAACTTACTCTTTTAATTCTCAACCAAGTGTTTAAAGATTTTCAGTGACAGCAATGTATGCGTGGTAAAAACGTATATAATTGTGATCTAATTCAAACATGTTATGTTATATAATGTTTTTGACATTTTATTATATTGATGTCATTGAAAATCTTTAAACACTTAGTTGATAATTAAAAGAGTAAGTTATAATTAAGTTGTCGTATTTTTAGGACATATAAATGGCAAAAAAATGTAATTAACTGGTGAATTAGCGTTAAGCGTCCTTTTATATGACGATTCAATTAACTGGTGTTAAGCATTCTTTTTAGGGACGAATTGATTAATTAACTATCGAATTAGTGATTAATCATATTCCTGTTGAGACATGTATTGTACGAGTCATGACCGCCTAGAAACACGTTCTGTAATTTGTGGTAGGATGATTTAATTATTAATTAATTAATTAATGAATTAGCGTTCACTGTCCTTTTTATGATTAACTAATTCATTAGTGTTAAGCGTCCTTTTAATGACGAATTAATTATAAACGATATAATGAATTAGAGTTAAGCGTCCTTTTTAGGGACAATTTAATTAATTAATGATTAATTATCGACATGTATTGTATGAGTCATGGCGGCCTAGAAATACGTTCTATACTTTGTAGTATTATTACGTGATCATACATTACAGCCTCCTGTCTGGTATCGAACTATAAATTCAACACTATAAAATCATAGTACATCTGAAGTGAGACCCTAACTATTTAAGTACATGGCAAAAAGTACATGGTATTTTAGTTGAAATACAACATGAATTGATATATCTTAGTAATTCTCAAGTTGTGAATGTTTTTAGTATATTGATGTGTTAATTTATATTGTTGGTAATATCTACAAATATTCAAATTTTCTATTTTAGGCTGTTTATTGGTTGGCATCTTGGTTGTACCTTACTGTCCAAAGTTCAAGCAGGAAACTTAGTTGTAAATTAATACAATTTGGAACATGGCCAGAAGAATTATAAGTCTTAATAGTATGAAAAATGTGATGTAATATTGGAGCATTGGAACAAAAAATTGGTTTCTCTTGTTGTTCGAATAACTGAAAGTTTACATTTATAGTTGCAACTTAAGGGAGTTAAGAAATGAAAGTATTACATTTACCTGAAACAATAATATTTTAAGTCACATGTCAAAATTGTTTAAATGTTCGATCGTTTAAAGATCATTTTTATATTACTCTGTATACACGTATACATTGATGTAATATAGTTCTAGCATTTCAGGTTCGTGTAATATTAAATAGTACCTTTTCTTAATATTCCATAAAACAAAAACAAAAAACTTTTTTCAACATAGCTGTAGCTTAATAGTTTTGTTTTGAGTTTACTTACTGATTATAAGTATTATTTTATTACAAGTTACAGCTTTTACAGTAAGAAAGAATATTTTTGAAACAGGATCGACGTTTCGATCACTGGTGCGATCATTCTCAAGCATCCAAGTTTCAACGATAAAGAAGGTTTAAACATTTAACTCAATATTCAATAACCTAGAAATGTATTTAACTTTTAAAATTGACAGTGGTTACTTATGCATGTACATATCAGTCCGCTTGAATTGACAGATTATTTATCTATGGATGAACAGAAAAATATACAAAAAAACAACAGAAAGTGAATAAACATGAAAATGTGGTAATATTGTGCGAAATACCCGCGTAAGATAAGGAATGTCTGGGAAAAGAAAGACAAAAGACATATAAAGATGTGCCTGGATATTTGTTGATTGTGTTTGATTTTATTAATAAGGCTTTTCTGATTTTTCTTCTGTTAATATCAGGTTCATGTTTTAGTATGATGAATTTCTGTGGTTGCTTTTGTTCAGGGACTTGGGAAGGGGGTTTTTGGTGTTCTTTTAATCTGATATTCAAGTTACGTCCTATTTCATTTACGTAAAAGGCTGGACAGTTGGTACACTTTATTTTGTAAATGTTTACTGGTGGAGTTGGTTCGTTATATGATTTTCTTAACAAGCGTTTAACTTTCATTCCAGGGGTAAAAATGAACATAGACTTTATGTTAAAGTTATATTTATGTGCTAGTCTTTTCCAAATTCCTGATATGCTTCAGACCCCTGGAGCTTTGCATGCCAAAGTGTGTATTCCACACTATTCTGAGTTGCCTGACCAATCCATAATTGCTTTTCTCCACCCCTGTAACGTAGTAGGGAATTGCCTTATGTTAGTATAACATTGAGTTAAGTGTGTAACTTTGTCATCGATGATTTCGGAGGTGCATATAGTGTATGGTAAATTTAGTAGGCTTTTCAAAGTGCATAGCTTCTGATGGATTACATGATTAAAAAATCAGTTTATGTAATTTCCGCTGTGTTTTTTCTACGAATTTTAGCTGTGAATAGTATCAGAAATTTGGAAAAGTATAGCGCCTAAATATAACCTTAAGATACAGTCTACATTTATTTTTACCCCTAGAATGAAAGTTAAACACATGTTAAGAAAATCATATAACGAAAATCCACCCCACTAGGAAACATTTACAGAATAATGTGTAACAATTGTCCAGTCTTTTACTTTGGTGAAACAGGACGTAACTTGAACATCAGATTAAAAGAACACCAAAAAAACCCCTTTCCAAGTCCACGAACAAAAAACATAGTTTTCTGAGCAGAATATAACCATCGTAAAACGTGAACCTGACATTAACAGAAGAAAAATAAGATAGGCCTATTAATAAAATCAAACAATTAATTGTATCCAGGTGCATCTTTCTATCTCTTTGATCGTTATTTTCCCAGACATTCCTAATCTTATGCAAATATTTCGCACATTTCTGCAATTTCATGTTTATTCAGTACCTGTTTGTATTTTCTGTTCAGCCATAAATAAGTAATCTGTCAATTCACGCGGATTAACATACACATGCATGGGTAACCACTATCAATTCTAAAATTTAAATACATTGTTAGATTGTTGAATGTTCATTTAAATACTAAAACCTTTACCATTAAAATGACCGCACAAGTAATTGAAACGTTGTACTTGCTAAAAATATTCTTCTTTACTGTAAAAGGTGTAACTTGGAATAAAACAATGGCTGTATCCTATTTTAAGTGTTTTTACCGAAAATGTGTTTACATTTGTATGTATATGTATATTAAATAAATAATGTCACTTATAATTAATTTCAAAAAGAAAAATTTATATAATCAATGAAATATACATTTTCTAAATTTTATTTATACTATTTATTATCATTTTTGACTTATATTTCTGTAGGATTTTTAAGGATAGTTATATGATTGCAACCTGTCATCCCTAAACTTGGTGTCGATGAAAAACAGACTGAAATAAAGGGCAAATTCTTGTTATTTAATAATTGTTTTATGAAAATCACAAATATAATGGTAATGTTACTATTATCCACAATTAATAAGTCAGAGAAAGAAATTACACTTCGAAAAATTTACAATGTAATACAAGTAAAATGACTGATTGAAACTTAGCATAAGAAAAATCATTGTTACAGAACAAATAACATGGTAGATAACTTAATATAAAAGTTACAAAACTGGGATGTTTCACAAACACTGGCAAAAAAGAAATGTTATTTACTTTTATTGGCTTGACAGATTGTTCAATGAACTTGGGCTATGGATATGATGGTTTACAAGACAATGTGCTCAACACTAGGCTATTTTCAAGTGAAAAATGTGAAATTTCCTATTACGTTCAGTAGTTAGATGTTGAGCAGAACTTTATACAATTCAGAAAATTAAAAACGCAAAAAACAACAACAACAAACTCAACAATAACAAGTATTAGACAGGCTAGAGTGTTACTATCCATATTGACCATCGAGAAAACAAGAGACTATGATGGGAAGGTATCATGGGAGGCATACAAGGTGCAGTTTGAAACCATTTCCATAAATATAAATAACTAGATATTATCTTGCTGCCCACTTATAGAACGTTAAGTAACATTCCAGCTGTGAGCCGTGACAACTGTCAAACATTGGTGACCACTTTATTCAATAAATTTGGAATGTCACACCAGAAAGAAGTATCAAAAGCAAAGTTCTAGAACAGATTACGGAGGAATGAAGAGATCTTAGCTGAATTTGCAGAAGATTTTGAAAGGCTTGCACATTTATCTTACCCAGATTCTTCTTTTGAAACGATGGATTCTTTGGCATGTAACCAATTTAATGATATTATAACAGATAAGGAAATGAGAATTAGGCTGAAGCGAAGTAGGGTTCCATCCTTAAAGGAAGTTCAACCTTTAGCTAGAGGATCTCATACCCAGACATATTTTCATTCTCGGGAACCAGGAAATTTCTTTCGGTTATTCCCGGATCCCAAGAATTTCCGGTGAATGTTTTTACAAATATTTTTAAAACCATATTTTCCAAGTGGTGATAAAGATCATATGTGGTCTAAATCCACTCCAAGTAAAATGTTGAAAAAAGACTATATTTTCATTTTATAACTCAAAAAATACGTTTGTTTGTCTAGTCTTACACTGCTAAATTAGGGACGGCTAGCGCAGATAGCCCTCGTGTAGCTTTGCGCGAAATTCAAAAACAAACAAAGGGAAGGCAGCTAGTCATCACCACCCACCGCCAACTCTTTGGCTACTCTTTTACCAACGAATAGTGGGATTGACCGTCACATTATAACGCCCCCACGGCTGAAAGGGCGAGCATGTTTGGTGGTATGCGGATTCGAACCCGCGACCCTCAGATTGTGAGTCGAGCGTCTTATCCACCTGGCCATGCCGGGCCGTGGTCAAGATAGATATAAATTAATGGTAACTAAAAGAGAACAATTGTAACTCGGTTTTGTGGTAATAAAGAAATAAAGGTCACTTATCACACTGCATGATTTATGGACATTGTATCCGAAATAACAAAAGTTGAATGTTTTGAACATTAAAAATACCCAAAGCCCTTTTTGTTTTTCAAAGTCCAAAATTTTACCTTCTTAATTCGAATATTGAGAGAAACCATATCATACAATAACTCAATAATTTTTTTAAAAGTTCAATTTTTGAATTAACAATAAATGTCTTACTGTAAGACAAGCAAACACTGTTCTTTGTGTTCTTATATATCACTTGAATGTCTACGTTTATTACGTACTTAAGTGTGCAATAAGTTTATTAAAATTATAACTGTTCAACAAACGTAAAGCAAATTTATCTATTGAATGAAAGACATCATCTCAGATTTATCAGAAAAAATGTATATCACGTTCAGTTTTATGCTATATCATTTCCTGTTAGCTAGTTCTAATGATTGCGCATATCACAGGTTCGAATGTCATGTTATCTAGTCGTTTATGTGTACGCACAAAGTAAAAATCACACAATAGACATAATTAGTTTATGCTAGTTTTATTAGATGCTACGCTTAGACATAAGCTTAAGGAGTTGGTTCATTTCATCACGAATTATTTAATCATCTTTATTTTCGATTAAAAACATACTCGCGTCCAATTACCGCCAGAAGCAAAATCAAAGATCGTATAGATTTGTTAATGTGAAATTGAAAAGAGAATATGTGACGTAGAGACCTAATGTATTCTTTGATTGGTCGTACCCTCTACCGTGGCCTGCAGTTTCGCTTATTCAAGGCTCATAAGAAATATCGTTAGGCCTCTTATAGTGGTGAACTATACATAATATTTATGGTGTCTTGAGTCCGTTTTACTCCACTATATGGTAACCTAAATTTGTAACCTAAAACACCATTTTTATTTTTTTAAATATTTTTATGCGATTGTCTTATTATTCTTATCATGATGCTTATTGATACACTAGGGATAAAATAAAAGCTCTTACAGGTACAGAACAGTTAGTTTTTTTTACTCATAGTATCAAATTTACACTATTGAAGAAAAATACAGTCAAAACCAAACGTAGGTGTGCTTTCATTTAGAAATAGGTGCTTTTTCGCACTTTTTTATAATAGTATATAACGTATAATTTCTCTTTTGCATTGACCTACTTTTCAGGTTTATATATATATATATATATATATACAGTATAATATACAAATAGCCAGCCAGACTGGATGGTAAAATAATATAATCTCTATTTCAAATAACTGACAAAAAATTAGAAATCGAAAAACTATTTAATTACATATTTGAATTCAATGAAAAATTAAATCAGAGGTATGATTCTCATTTCTGCTGATAATTTTAATACATATTTGAATTCAATGAAAAATTAAATCAGAGGTATGATTCTCATTTCTGCTGATAATTTTAATATATATTTGAATTCAATGAAAAATTAAATCAGGGGTATGATTCTCATTTCTGCTGATAATTTTAATACATATTTGAATTCAATGAAAAATTA